GGCCATTAGATCTGATCGTAGTGGTGAATACTATGGTAGATCTGATGGATCAGGTGAACAACGTTCAGGGCCCTTTGCGATCTTACTAAAGGAGTGTGGAATCGTCCCGCAATACATAATGCCAGGTAAACCTAGCATGAATGGTGTTGCGGAAAGGCGAAATCGGACTCTTGAAGACATGGTGAGGAGTATGCTTAGTCATTCTTCATTGGCAGAATCACTTTGGGGAGAAGCACTAAAGACTGCAGTTTATATCCTTAATAGGGTTCCCAGCAAAGCAGTGACAAAAACCCCTTATGAGCTATGGAATGGAAAGAAACCTAGCATAAGGCATTTACACATTTGGGGTTGTCCAACAGAAGCGAGGCCTTATAGGCCAAATGAAAGAAAGTTGGACTCAAGAACAATCAGCTGCTATTTTGTTGTATATGCTGAACGCTCTCGGGGCTTTAAGTTTTATAATCCCACTACAAGATCCTTTTTTTGAGACAGGAAATGCCAGATTCCTTGAGGATGTTGAGTTTGGGGGGGAAGATAAAATAAGGAATGTTGTCTTTGATGAGGAAGAAAATTAATTTCTCTTCCTAATATTGTCATCATACAAGATGCAATTACGGAACAAGAAATTAATGATTAGGTCCCTGTTCATGACATTGTTATGGAACAGGCTTTGGTCCCTGACATTGCTTTGGGTCAAGACAATAATGAACCACCCCCTATGCCACCTATAGAACAAACTCAACAAACTCAAGAAGTGCCATTAAGGAGATCCACTAGAGAAAGGAGAAATGCAATTCCGGATGATTATATTGTGTTTCTTCAAGAGCATGAAAATATTTTAAGCTTGAAGGAAGATGATCCAATCAACTTCCAACAAGTCTTAGAAAGCTCTAATGCTCGTAAATGGATTGATGCCATGAAAGATGAGATGCAATCTATGAAAGACAACGACGTTTGGGATCTTATTGAGTTGCCTAAAGGTGCGAAACCCATTGGTTGTAAATGGATATTTAAAACCAAAAGGGATTCAAATGGCAACATCAAAAGATATAAGGCACGTCTAATTGCTAGAGGTTTCACTCAGAAAGAAGGCATAGACTATAAAGAGACTTTCTCTCTGATTTCTACGAAGGACTCTTTTAGGACAATAATGGCGCTTGTGGCTCGTTTGGATTTGGAGCTACATCAGATGGACGTAAAGACAACGTTTTTCAATGGTAAAATTGATCAGACAATTTATATGGTGCAACCAAAAAACTTTGTATTGGGAGATTCAAAGTCTATGGTTTGCAAATTGAAAAAGTTCATCTATGGCCTTAAGCAAGCTTCTCGTCAATGGTACCACAAATTCCATCAGGTTATTATCTCCTATGGCTTTGAGGTGAACTTAGTGGAAGATTGTGTGTATCACAAGTTCAGTGGGAGTAAATTCATATTCCTGATACTATATGTTGATGATATCTTACTTGCAGTAGCGATATAGGCTTATTGCATGAAACCAAGAAACTTCGCACTAAAATTTTTGAGATGAAGGACCTTGGTGATGCATATTTTGTCTTAGGAATACAGATACTTCGAGATCGTGCTCAAGGTATCCTATGGTTATCACAAAAGGCCTACATTGAAAAGATTTTGGATAGATTTAGCATAAAGGTTTGTACGTCAGGAGATACGCCCATATCTAGGGGAGACAAGTTTAGTCTCGCCCAATGCCCTAAAGGTAAGCTTGAGATGATATAAATGACAAAGGTACCTTATGCTTCGATAGTAGGAAGCCTTATGTATGCCTAGGTTTGTACTCGCCCTGATATAGCATTTATAGTGGGAATGTTAGGAAGATACTTGAGCAATCCAGGAATGGATCATTGGAAAGCAGCCAAGAGGGTTATGCGGTATTTAAAGAGAATAAAAGATTATATGCTTACATATCGGAGGTCAGATGAATTAGAGATCATCGGATATACTGACTCTGATTTTGCTGGATGCCAAGATAGTAAAAGATCCACGTCAGGTTATGTCTACATGTTGGCTGGAGGAGCTATTTCTTGGAAGAGTGTTAAACAGACATTCATAGTTTCCTCTACTATGGCCGCTGAATTTGTAGCTTGTTTTGAGGCATCCAACCATGGGGTATGGCTGCGAAACTTTGTCACAGGGCTGCATATAGTGAGTGGTGTTGAAAGGCCACTGAAGATTTATTGTGACAACAGGTCAGCAGTGTTGTACTCCAACAACAACAGAAGCTCTTCAAAATCGAAGCATATCAATATAAAGTTTCTGGTTGTTAAAGAAAGAGTTCAGAGTGGTCAGATTTCCACAGAACACATAGGGACAAACTCCATGCTTGCGTATCTGCTTACTAAAGGCTTAGTGCCTAAGTTCTTTCACGAGCATACTGCTCATATGGGTGTTGTTTTGTTCGATGACACTACGGTTTAGTGGGAGTTCTTTATGTTGGTGTTCTATGTAAATAAATAATTAAAATAGTCTTATGTTTGTTTTCTGCAGAATAAAGAATTCAATGTTATTTTTCCTCTGAATGTATTATATTTTGTGCTTGTGTTTCTGCTTTGTGTATGCAGAAAATTTAGGATTGATCTCATAAAGATTAAAGTAGGACCAGTTGAAAATAAGCATGGTAAGATCACATTGCATGTAATTTCCATGCCACTCATCCATACTTGATCTATGTCATTGAATATATTGGTGCGATGACCATGGAAGGTTTAGTTACGCTTTAAAGTGACAAAAGCCTTCATTATCTCATATTGATATAGGAGGTGGACCAGATTGTATCTAAGGAGGAATCTAAAGAAAAATAGCATACAGTTGCGCACTAAAGATATATGATATAATTATCTCAAGTTAATATGTGGCCCAAGTGGGAGATTGTTAGAAAATTATATTTTCTAATAATCATTGTAGGTCACATATTATATTAATAATTATATTGTGCTATTTAGATATATTGGGTAAATTAAAGTGATCAGTTAAATATTCCCAAATAGATTCCTAAGTGAGTATGGGCTGAATGAGTGGATATCGGTGTTGGGCCAACTAGGTATAATGGGAGCTTATTGGCCCAACAATAAAGATAAAAACACTATAAGGGTTATGGTCCCCAAGACGTCAAATAACAATCCTAGTTTCTCTTCCCCATCAAGAGAGAGACAACACACTAAGGAATTTGGTTTTAGGGTGATTTGACTGAGGAAGACTACAAACCCCAAGAGACAAGATCAAAATTATTCCGCTGCAATGGAGACATGTATGCCTCCACCTTTATGTTCTTATTTCTTTATGATTTGGTATGATGGAGTTTGACTTGTAGGTGATAGTTATCACCAAAAGGTTTAGAGGAATTAATTTTTTTTTCTAACACAATGGTAATGAAGGAAGAGAGAGAAAAAGGGAATAATAACCATTCAAAGGAGAATCAATTAATATAGGAAAATAAATAAACAAAACGACGTAGTTTTGGGGTGGCTGGAGATAAACTTATCTCAAGTTGCCGAAGAAATATTTTTCATATATATATATATATATATTTAATATCAACCTCAATTAACTATTTGAGTCAAGTTGATGCCAAATATTCTCATAAATTTCAATTTTTTGAACTAGTTATAACACTAATATCGAGTTGAGCTCAATCACAGTTAAAATTTACTGCATCTCCTTAAAAATATATTTGTCCGGGTTCGTATGCAACTATTTTTGAGAGTGTTAATCCAAAGACATAATTGAACCTTGAAGTTATGCTTGATCATATCCAAATTGAATGATATTATATCTTCTTGTGACTTTTTTGGGATAGCTGCTTGCCGTTTTAATTATAATCCCACTTAAGTTCTTGCAATTGTGATCAATATCTGCCGTTTTAGACCTTAAATAACACGAAGCACTATCACGAGAAGATTTGATTTTGACTCTTGGCTTCACTGCTTCAGCGAAAGTGCAGTGTCCTAAGCTCAAACCTGCTGAGGACTTTGCTCGTGCCATGACTGCCATCAACTTCAGTGCTTTTTGACTATTTTTGTAGCATTAGTAGCATCCCAACCCAAACGTTCTAGTTATGTATCTTCATAGTTGCAATAGAATCATCCAGTATCCTCCACCAAAAGAATATAAAGGTTGACAGCAAAGCAAAGAGGCTATTGCAATTTTTATGGAATCGAAATTAATTTTACTATGGGAGAGGCATTTATCTACATGTAAATGCATTAATATAACTTGATGCATGCATTTAATCTAAATAATTAACAAATAAAAGAATATATATTTTTTTACTTAATCCAAAAAGGATTTAGCGTGTGTCATTTAAAAGGACATAATTTGTGTGCTTTTAATGACTTACACAAAGTATTTACCAACTTTGTGTAAATCTGAAAAGTTTTTTTTTTTTTTTTTCTTTCAACTTTACCCGTCTAAAACGGATATATGTAGTTAAAATGGTCAAGAAGCCAATTGTTTATCCCTTTGCTCTGTTTTTGTCAAGTGGAAAGCTTCTATGGCGAAACTTGAAGACAAATTCAGAGCACTCCATTGTTGTCCTGAATTTCACTGTAAAGAAGTGATTGGTACATCTCCTCCATAGCGCAAGTGACTGTCCCATCAATTTTTACCTCCCACTTAGCTTTGTTATCATCCCTCATGATATCAATTTTCACTGTTTCTTTCTTTCTTTCCTTTATTTAATTGTTTACATAAACCATCAACAAAAAGATTATATCATATAATATTACAAATACATCATTATGGGAATCAAACCCCAAGTACATCTTGTTAAAGCCGTTATCCATTTATACAAATGGTGCTACTGAAGTACTTAGGTTCTAGTCTATAAAAAGATAAAGGGCACTAAAAAACTTCACCCTAGATTGAAGTCTAAAATTGCACATGGTCACATCCATGATACAAATAAGTATATTTACATTATATTCTTTGATCACAAGCGCAACACAATACATAAAAAATGAAAAGCAAACAAATTAATTAACTAGACATACTAATAAAACATACAATTATTTTAATAGAACACACCAAAGGAGGAACTTCCTTCAGGCTCCTGAGCAAGTTTTGCAGGAACTAAGGAATCAAAGAAATTGTTCCAATTTTCATCTTCCTCATCTTCTTCCTCTCCAGTACTAATATGACTCCACTGAACTTGAGGGTTCATTACAAGTTCATCATTCCTCGCAAATCGTCCTCTGATACGGGGCCTGCTGTCTGCCAATGTCTTCCTACAAGCATACTGATTCATAGAAAAAAAAAACAAGTTAATATTGGTAAGGAATAAGTTATATTTACAAACTTTTTGTTTACAAAGTATAGGTAGTACTCCGGGGAGTACATTCCCTAAGTGAGTGTACTTCCCAAAATACAGAATGTAATTTGTAAGAATTTATAAACAAAAATTTATAAATATAATACTTGCCTATTTTTACCGTGATTGCATCATGAATAAATAGTATCGTGGGGGGACCAATAGAGCAACATATATAGTACACTCTGTTGGAGAGTAACATAACATGCCTAATTGATTTTCTCCTTTTATTTATCGAAGAAGACAAGTATGTGACAAGATTTTCATGCTTCATAAATCACAAATTGGAGGACCTGTTGCTATACACTAACACTATAACATACCCCTGAAATCACAATTATGTATAATCTTTGATATGTTTTGTGTGGCCAGCAATTTGATCGAATCTAATCCTCCTATTAAAGTGTCACTACTTTTTTGTTTTTTGTTTTTTTTCAAGCAGGATTTTCAAACTTTTTAACTGTTTCCCTTAACTTTCAATCCTCAATATCATTTTAGCATGATATGATGCAAAATTCGAAAAGGCAACATGGTTTTCCTTTTCATATAGTTTTGTCCATTATATTGGAGTTTTTTTTTTTTAACTCATTTAATTATTATGATGGAAAATATATTTTATTCTATAAAGTTTAATTGGTTCAACGCAAGTTTTTATTGAAAAAAATGGTAAATAGAAAGCTTCTATACATAAACCTTAATTTTCTTGGTGAAGTTCCTCTGGTTTCTCTTGCTTCTGTATCTCTCAATCCTCACCTTCTTCTCCTCTGGGCTATAAGGACTGGTTCTGTTCATTCCTTCTATGATCATACTACTTTCACTTGACAAAGGACTATCTGACTGATGATAATGTTGCATTCCATTAATCCTCTGTACAAAACAAAAAATCATGATTCAATAATTAATTTATGGGAATTATACTTATTATGTTGCAAGAAAAACCAAATTCATTCCTGCACTAACAAAAGCTTGTAGGTCCTATTAACTAAAAAAAATAAGGAAGCACAACCATTGAAGTGTCAGCAGGAAGGGTGTTGTTTTTTCCTACAAAGTAAAACAGCACCCTTAATTTATATGAAACCAAACTATAAATAAAAGGGTTTTTCTTTTATCCTTTAACATAACACAACAAATTTTCCTACTCTCACAATATTTTGTGGGGCCCACACTTTTTAAAACAAAAAAATAAATAAAAAATTAAGGCACGCAAAACGAATCTCTATAACATTACACAATCACTTTTCCTACAACATAACTCTTATAAAACCCTAAATAAAAAGACAATAAACCATACAAAGCATAACATAATTCCCGCAATCAAATGTGTAACATATATCAATATTGTAATACACATGTCTTTTTTTCTTTTTTTCTGTTTAACATATACAATTTTCTTTAATTTTTTTTCCACCAATTCATTAATTAATAGACTAATCTAATCAAACCAGATAAAAATTATACAAAATTCTCCCTATTAAATTTTTAACATAGTTATATATTTAAGATTCAAATTCGAATTTACTAATTAAGCCGGAACATTTTTTTATTTTTCAATATCCAATAAAAACAGATTTTGATTTAAACTCTTATAATTTTTTAAGAACAATTTGATAATGAATAGAAAGCTCGTTAATATATTTAATGACTTTAATGTTTCTAGAGTGAATGTAGATAAATTATCTACATTCGTTCCAAAAACGACATCGTTTTGAGTTGAAAAATTAAAAATTTATAATAAAAAAGACTATTATAATCTTAAAATAAATTATAATTATAAAAATATCTTGTTTTCCGCCCCAAAATACTAATGTAGATAAATTATCTATAGAAAAAACTTACAAAAAACGAATCCATATTTAATATATTGACTCGTATAAAAGTATGTTTAGAGGAGTAACAGGAGGGGACCTGCAGATCACCAGTACTGTAAACTCTGCGAACCGGACCGTTCTCCGAGTCGAGCAACTCAGCAAACAGAGGAGAAAAGGGATGGTGGACCCCATTATTCTTCTGCAGCGAATGGCTGCTAACGCTCCTCTGCATTAAGCTGGCTCGTTGACTCTCGTAACTCGCCAGCGAACTCGGGGACCCCATGTAGCTGGTGCAACCACTGCTATAACCATTATTTACATTGCAACTAACCTCCGAGTTGAGTTGCCAGATAGACTCGCTCAGCTGAGGAGTGATGAAATGGCCGTGGGAGTTGGCGGCGCGTGAGAATTCGGTGTTACAGTTTGTATCCATGGCGCGTGGTGGCCGTGGGATTGAAAGGAAAGGAAAGGAAAGAAGCTGTTACTACGGTTACTAGAAGAAGCAGAGGAGTGAGTGAATGAATGAATGTGAAAGGTCGAGCGTTAAGTATTTAATATTTTTCAGTGTGTGAGTCACACACTACAAAACAAAACAAAAAAAGACAAAAAAAAAAAAACTTGAAATTTCTTTTCTTTTTGAAAAAGAAAAAGCCAGATGGGACGCGAGACCTGGATGATGACGTGTCATATACGGCAAGAGTTGACTTGTTTTGATTCTAGAAATTAAAATTCACAAATATTAAATTCTAATAGCTGAAGTTTAGTTTAAAATTCATTAAAAATATTTTAAATTTAAAATAACAGGTATGTATA